ATCTTGCACCGCCGAGTGCTGCAGTTTCGGCTGCCTGTGGGTTGCTTCGATTCCCAGCCCTCCCGCCCTCGTGGGTTATGCGCTCTCTGGCCGGGATACTGGTGGCCTTCGCCCCAAGACATCGCCGGCCAGACGTGCGATTAGAGTGTGCCCTGTGCACGCACACGAGCGCAAACCCACTCAAGGGATGGAGGAAGATTTTCACGACGGCAGAATATCAGCTTCGCCTCGGGGCCGAGGCCGCCAGGCAGCAGCTTGCGAAGGGGCTTCCGACCCCACGCTAATTCGCACCCTGTTTAGTCTGCCGATTCTCCGGCTGGGGCCGGAAAATCATTTTTGGCAGCCCGGCCCAAGGGAAAGCAGGCCCTCGCCTCTGCGGTGCCCCGAAGCACCTCGGAACACGTTTTCGGGCCCCGGGGCCCCGTCACGGCTCGGCGCCGGCGCCTTCGCGCCAGCAAGGGGCAAAAGGAAAGCGCTGCCTGGCCGGAGCCTCCTGGACCCTGTCCTGAGGTTCCCTGCCAGGACGTGGCGCCGGCGAAAGCCGCGAGGGTGGTATGTGGGTGGGCAGAACCGCCGCCAGGCGGCTGCTGCCCGCCATGCGGGCGCCGTCCCACGCGGAGAGCGTTCGGTCACCAGAGAGCCTGAGAAGGCGGCCCCTGCCGACAAGCTGTCAGGCACGTGCCTGCGAGGGAGCGGGCAATGCCACAGCGCACCAGGCCGTCGCTCGTGCTTTGGCCTGGCTTGGCCCTGCTCCCCGCAGAGACCGAGAGCGCCTCCTGTGGGGCGACCAGAACGGCTGACCCAAGAGACTAGCACCGAGAATACTTCCGCCTCCGAAAACGCAAGCCGGCCCGCCAGGAACCGCTTGCCCGCGAAGCAGGCGCAGAGGCGTGTGAGCGGGAGCAGAGGAGGTGAGGCGAGCACGCTTGGGCCTGCTCCACATGATTTTCCTGTGCCGGAAACGAGTTTACGCTTCATGAAAATCATTTTTGGCAGCCCGGCCCAAGGGAAAGCAGGCCCTCGCCTCTGCGGTGCCCCGAAGCACCTCGGAACACGTTCTCGGGCCCCGGGGCCCCGTCACGGCTCGGCGCCGGCGCCTTCGCGCCAGCAAGGGGCAAAAGGAAAGCGCTGCCTGGCCGGAGCCTCCTGGACCCTGTCCTGAGGTTCCCAATGCACCAGGAGGCGGCGGACCGCGCAGCAGCGCCTGAGGAGAGGACATCGTGATGTGTTTTCCCTTGCCCCAATGCAAACGATGCGAACTCAGTCCTGCTCGCCGTCGCTGGAGTCAGAATGTTCTACTAGCCATTCAGCGGCCGTGAGAGCCCCTCGGCTCTGGGCGCTAGCATAGCCGAAAGCAGCCACGCCTTTCCATCCACCGCTAAAGAACAATGCTGTCGGCCCTCCTTGTTGGAGGGCTTCGTTCGCGAACCCTCTCCTGAACGCATGCGTGCCCCAAGCAGGCGCGCTACGCAGATGCAGGGCGTTCGCTGCCAGCTTTAGCACAGCGAGAGCGTCGGCGTATTGGATTCCTGAAAAAGGAACAGCGCTTGTTTCTCCTAAGGAGAACAGTGTGCAAGCACCGCACAGGAGCCGACCCTGCTGGTGGCAGATGCAACGCCTCGTCGTCTCGCAGGGTTCATTGTACGACTTCCGGTGAGCAAAACGGATGATGCACGTTTTACGGCCCTCGCCGGTAAAACGAAATGCGACCGCGTGGGTCCCCAGATTTAGCACTTCAGAATATCTCAAAGCAAAAATGGCGGGCAATCGCCCACGAGGCCGCTAGTGTCGGATATCCGGCTTCCGAGCACCACTTACGGATGCGTCTGGTCTCCTCAGCTGTGGCACGGATTTTCTCTTTTCTGAATTCATACTTCGTTATCTTTTCGGCGCCTCTCGACAATCTATGCGTATCTGCGAGGACGCCCAGCGGAGCCTGCACCAAGTGCAATACACTGCGCACGTGCGACACGTATCTCTGCAAGGTGTGGCCGCTGCGAAACAAACCAACGAAAGTGTCAAGGATCAGTTCTGTTGGTGGCCACCCAGGCGCCCCGACAGCAGTGGCAGCGTCGCCCCACAGGCGTACTGCGGAAGCATACTGGGAGGCGCTTTTCCTCCAGCTGGCAAATTCCACCCACAAGGTGTGCAAGCTCAGATGGTCGCCGCCGCTGGCTTCGCGACGAGCCCGCTTGATCTCGTCCCGTGGCCTGCCAGTGGGCTCCGCTCCCGGATAGCAGCTGCAATTGGCAGCAGCTGCCACGGCGGCTGCGAGCACTGCAGGCGCAGGAGCGGCCCGCGCCCGCCGCGCCTCTCCAAGCACTAGAAAAGCAGCGCGGGCCTTCTCTTCGGCGGGGGCGTCCAATCGCTTCGCAGTGGGCGTCTGGTCGCCAGCATAGCCAGCGCCTGCGCCGCCCGAGGCGGAGCCCGCCTGCGCAGCGACGCCCGCTGCCAGAGATGCCGGGCGCTGGGGCTCCGTTCGCCCGCCAGGCTTGTGCGCTTGAGCTGCCTGCTCGCGACTGGCGCTGCTCTGGCAGTGCGACAAGAAGGCTTTGACGAAGCTGCTGTTGCAAGCGGCGAATGCCGGCACGAGCTCTGCGAAGTCGTCGGCTCCAATGTCGCTCAGATCCGACATGTGTTTGAAGCCCGATTCTGTCAACGCAGCGATCAAGCCCGTGACGTGGTGCCCTGGCTCTGCCTGCGCCGCGACGCCGCGGACGACGGCCGCCAGAGGGGACGCTTCCACCTCGACGCGGACCTCCGCGACCTCATCGCTGGCAGCTGGCGGATGCGAGTACTTAGCGGCACGGCTTTTGTCGATGAATCTCAAAGCCATGCTGGGCCAGAGCTCCGGAACAGAAGACACAGAGAATGTGCGCACAAGTAGCTGCGTGGACAAACGATTCTCACGTGATACGACCTCAACACAGGATTACGATGATGTTTTTCCCCTTCGCCGCTCACTGTCTCCGAATCACCAGGGCGCGTCGGCTGGGAAGGACCACGGCATTTCTTGAAACCCGTCGGCGGCTAACTTACGCAGCTGCTCTGACTTGGCTTCTGGCCGGGTCGGAGCGTCGGCCAAACTTAAATGCGATGGCACGTGCCAAAAGTGCAAATAATGACCACGCTGCGCGACTGCAAACCAAAGCGCCTATGAGCTCGTTCCAATCAAATTGCCTGGAACAGCCGCGTAAAAGTGCACCCAGCGCGCTTGTGTTATCCACGAAGGCGAGGATTTCAAACTCGCCAGGCAGATAACTCAGCAAAAACTTAAGCGCGCAGAGAGCCGCCATGAGCTCCCAAGTGCCGATTTGATTCTTCCGATGAAGCACCCACTGCCTCGCCTTTGCTGGGACATCAGCAGCAGCCCAAGCCTTTAAACAGGGAGTACCCATGCCATCCGTCCTTGGCCTGTGGCGTCCGTGTAAAGGATGCAACGCTTCTTCTGGCGACGCATCACCGGGACGCTCCTCGATGGCGGTTCCTGTAAGAACCGCAGCCACCAACGCAGACACAATTTGGTGCGCTGGGACAGCCGGCTCTGGTTGCCTGAGCCGTGGTGGTAAATGGCAGCAAGGTAGACGCGCGCGCCTCGGCCGAAGACGGCGGTCGCACCCCAGCTCAATTTGCCTGCTAATTTTAAAGCCCGCGCAGGCGAGAGCGATCTTCGCCGCAGAGCCTCTCGAATTTCTGCGGCCCATTTTTCCAACCTCTCTGCTTCGAGAGAAAACTGGATCAGCTGGTTGTATTCTACGCAGACTCCGAGGATTACGGTCTTAGTGGCGTCCGTGACAGCTTTGCCGGCGTCGAGATCCCAGCCCAGCAGTTCTGACACGACTGCTCTTGCCAGGCGCGCAGAGCCGGCGGGGCCGATTAAGCAGTCACTGCCAATATCGCGCCCCTCCAGGGCCGAATCGCCGGCGAACATATCGTCGACAAAACGCAAATATAACAAGTGAAACAGAGCTGCCAAAATGCCTTGAATGGCGAGACCGAAACGATCCCAACCGGACACTGATGCGGAAGAGCCAAATGGTAGGCACAGCAACTGTAACGCCTTACCGTCTGCCACTGCTTCTGGCCAAGCTGTCACTGCTAGCGGCAAGTGGCCGCTGCAAATCGGCAGTGTCTTAAAAGCATGCCGGAAGTCATCTTTCCTCCACCTCATGGCAATGTGTTGCTTGCCTGCTGCTGTGTGGCGCACTAATGCCACCAAGGTGTCCAGCGTGTCTGGACATGTTCTTTCACTATGTACAACCGCGCCACTCACCGCAGACGCAGTAAAATCGTCTATGCAACGAATTTTTGGCATTCCGTCTCTCTCCCCCTGCACGATAGGGAAGCGAGCTGTTAAAACACAAGAATTTACGTCTAGGTTACGGAAGCGGGCCTTGCCATCTTCGATCTCTTTTGAGCAGGCCGATAAAAATTGAGTCCTAACCCTCGTATCGCCGCCCTTTTCCGCGGCGATTCTACCGAGAGTCGCCTCATTCCGCTCGCGCGGATGTGCTAAAAGCGACCGCAAAGTCTCGGCTGGTTCCGGAGACGTGGCAGCGGGCGCATGGATGCCACTAGCAGGCAGGCGCCCCACCAAAGGGAAGCCATGGCAGAGGTTGTGAAACAAGGTATTATCTGGCCATGCTATAGCCTCGAGCATCTCTTTCAGCAGCAGAAGGTTCTTCTCCGGACCCAGCACTGACTGACAGTGAGCTGGCAAACTTCTAAAGATAGTCTGCCACTGCGGGTCCGTCACTAGCTTCCGATGCTTCCAAAAAGCAAGAGCAGACTGGCGAGCGGTTTGCAGCTCGGCAACCGACATTGAAACCGATCTCGCAAAATGGCCGTTTAAAAATGTTGGCACGCGCGGGCTATCGTCGGCTTCTGGCAAGCCGCTGGCCCAGCGCAAGTGGTCGCTCGGACCCAGGCTATGCAAATCCTCGCGGGCGCTAAATGCAGAGAAAGCTGCCTGGACAGCTTCGAGTGGAGAATTTGCTGACTCACTTGACCTTGAACTGGTACCTGGAAGCGGCGACGCCTCCGTGTCGTCTGATGCTTCCTCCGAGATATCACTCCCGGCGCCCTCGACTAGTGGTGCTTGGCCCACTCACCACTTGTTTCCCCAACTGTTGTACTGCTGATTGCCGGAGCGGGGGCTGCGAGACCTGTGCTGATAATCGGTGCCCGCCGTGCCCTTGGGGCGCTTGGCCGGCGACCGGACAGGCCGGTTGTCAGCCTCTGTGCCGTCGGAGCTCTTCTTGCTCCCCTTGCCGCCCTTGTCGGCGGCGCCCTTGGCGCAGCCTTTGGGCTGACCCTTCGACTGCTGCCCTTTAGCCGTCACAGCCCGGCCAGCCTCCGCGAAGCTTCTGTTTACTTTGTCTTTGGCGTCAGCTAGGTTTTCACGATCGATCTTGGCGAAGTAAGACGCCAAATCTACGACGTCTTCCTCCAGAGCCCTGGCCATGGCCCTCCTCTGGAGAACATCGTATTGATAAGCTGTCCTGACTCCACCGTGTTCCTCGGCGATTCGCACGATGTTGTGGGCGTGCGCAAGGAAGTCAGCCATGCTGCATGCCTTGGTGAGGATTACTTTGAATCCCCACTCGTGCAAGTGGCCCATGAACGTGGCAAAGCCAGCGTAGTCGACTTTGTCCATCCACGCCATGTTCCGCTTGGCGGCAGCGCTCTGTTTCGCCCGCTCCTCGTAAGAGCCGTCCCCCACGACAGCGTCGATCATAGGAGTCCGGCTCCATGTTGGGCGGTGGTGATCGCGCAGATCCTCGCCCTCAGCAGACCGACCCACGGCCTGCCTTTGTCGTGCGCGATCTTCCCCGCCGCCTCGAACTTCGCGAGGACCTCCTCTGACGGGAGTGCATCCTTGGCGAAATGCTGCATGCCCAGCTCGAGTTTCCGGTCCTGCAACTTGAAACTGAGTCCTTTCGGCTTCCCTTTCTGCAGCGCCTGCGACTGAAGTTCCGCAAATTGCTTCACTGCTTCAGCCATGCCCGAGAGCTCTTTGTTGTTGTGGGCCACCTCTGGTGGCACCGATGGTCCTGGCGAGGCTTTCTTCGCGCGCGCCCCCTGCACCTTGAGTGCCAAGACAATCTGTGCCGGCGAGACCTTCCAGCTCTTCCACGGGTCGTCCTGTTCGGTGGCATACGGGGTGGCGTGAACGGGAATGCTCGCCTTGATCATGTCCCGCATGCGAGGGTCTTCGAAGCCGGCTGGCGCGATGCTGCCTCCCGTCTCGGCCAGCAGCCGCGCGACAGACACGTAGTGGAAGAGATCGTGCTTCTTGGCGGGGTCGACGTCGACATTGATGACGAAGTCCACCCAGTCACGCGCCTGATCTGCACCTGCGCCGTTGAAGGCTCCACTGGCGGCGGTAACGATCATCGCCGCGACGTCACTCGGAGAAAAAGACATCTTCCCTCGGGCGACGCGTAGAATCAGATTGCTCTGCGTGCTAGGACACAAATCTGCAATTCAGACACCTTGTCTGAGCCATCACGGTTACAGTGGACAGCTGAAGGACCCCCCGCCGCAGGTGGATACCTGGCCTCTCTTCCGACGAGACAAAGAGGAGAGTGGCCTCAGGCATGGTGAGAGCAACCGTGTTTCCGATTCCTCAAACATGCAGGCAGGCAGCTCCTCCAAAGATGCCTTCAACCAAGATTTCCCTTCGCAAAATCAGTTCTGACGCCGCCTGCTGCCGCCGCCAAAACACGCGACAGCAACCTGTGAGAGGCTGGGCAAGGTCTGAGCTGTGAGAGGGCAGATTGCCTGAGGCGTGCTCGTCTGAGCCAGTGCGGCACAACGCACGAGACAAGAGACGACAACCTGCTCAGGCGCGGTCTGCACTGCGGGGCAAAACGTAGCCAGCGCTGATTGCGATGCTTATCCCCCTCCGCAGCCTGAGTGCACCACCCAGGCCTCCGGAGGGCGTCATAAGCGCGCCTGCCGAGCGCTGCGTGCGATGCTGCCCCGGTGGAGAACCTGCCTTGCCGCGCTGGCTCCCTGCAGCTTGAGGGTGCTGGGCTGCCGTCAGAGAAAGGATTCCCCTGACGCCACCACGCCGCCGACGCGATTCAACTTTGTCGCCGCCGCCGCCAGAGGACACAGAGCAGATTTGAATGATGAGATGGATGAGTGAGCGCCCATCTTTGGGGCGAGCGCGTCCGCCTGGACGCGGCGCGAAGGGGCTTACGCTCGCCCTTCGCGATAGAATGCTGTCCGTCGTCGCGGAGCAGGCGAATCCGTCTCCAAACGGTTTCTTTCCTGGTAGGTGGGTCTGGGTACCCCATCCTCTATGTGAGGCGCGCCGTCTTGGCCGGCAACGCCGTCAAGGCGACTCGCTAGAGAGCGTGCAGCTCGACTGCGCGCTTTTGCAACGACGCGAATGTCAGCTTCGCCTCGGAGCTAAGGCAACAGGAAACGCAGCCAAGGAACTGCTTGCTGAGGCGCTTCCGACCCACGCTTCTTTGGCACCCATTTTGGGGCCGAAAATCATCCGAAATCCGATGGGCCGAGCTCCCATGGGAAATCCGTCCAGTTGCAATCTCAGCCGCCGTATTTTCAGCAGCCACACCAGAATTCAATTCTGAGTTCGCTGGTGAAAGGGCGCCAGCATGGATATTCTGATTACGCGCCGTTTGGGACGCAGGTCTCCCGGGGTCGGTCGAGGACGGGCGCGCTGCACAAATGCAAAGCACCCCCGCCCCCGTTGTGTGCAGGTGGGGGATTAGCAAATGCTCCCCCATCAAGGACTAGCTTCTGCCGCCTGCACGCATCCGACCCCGAGTGCCCAAGAGTGTGTCCGTAGCCCCTGCTTATGGCTCGCGCGGTCGAGACGGCCAGGTCACTGCATTTTGGCGCGCCTGGGCACCATAATGCAGAAAGGAACAAAGAATGCGATATTCAGGCGTGCGAACGACCAGGAGCACTAAGTCGCACTCAGGTCGCGAATCTGGGTGCGCAAGAGCACCAGAAAGCAAAAGGGGGACTCACAATGCAATTTCGCGCGGACGCCCACGAGCGCTAATGTGCGCTGAGCTCGCGAATCTGGGCACGCCAGCGCAGTAGGACGCAGAAAGGCGTTCAGAATGTCATTTTGGGCGCGCGAACGCTGAGGAGCGCTTTGCTGCGCTGAGATTGCGAATCTGGGCGCGCCTGCGCTCCAGAAGGCAGAAGGGATACAGAGTGCAATTCTGGGCGCGCGGACGCCACAAGCGCTCAGATTGCGAACGTGGGTGCGCCTGGAATCAAAACCCAGAAAGGCCCTCAGGATGCAATTTTTGAGCGCGCGAACACCCAGGAGCGCTAAGTCACGCTCAGATTGCGAGCCTGGGTGCGCCTGGGCACCAGAACGCAAAGAGGAGCTCAGCATGCAATTCTGGGCGCGCGGATGCCCAGAAGCCTTCAGACTGCGAGTATTGGTGCGCCTGGTCACCAGAACGTAGAAAGGAGCTCAGAATGCAATTCTGGGCGCGCGGACGCCCAACAACGCAAAGTCACGCTCAGATTGCGAACCCCGGTGCGCCTGGGTACCAAGCCGCCGAAAGGCTCAGAATGCAATTCTGGGCACGCGGACGCCTTCAGACTGCGAATCTTGGTGCGCCTGGCCACCAGAACGCAGAAAGGAGCTCAGAATGCAATTCTGTGGGCGCGGGCGCCCTGGAGCGCGAAGTCGCGCACAGACTGCAAAACTGGGTGCGCCTGGGCACCAGAACGCCGAAAGGAGCACAAAATGCAATTTTTAGGCACGCGGACGCCCGCGAGCGCAAAGTCGCGCTCAGACTGGGAATCTGGATGCGCCTGGGCACCAGAACGCAGAAAGGAAGGAGCATAGAGTGCAATGCTGGCACTCGAATGCCACCCCAGTGCACAGTCGCGCTCAGACTGGCCGGCACAGATCTGGAATGGCAGACGGCGAGGGCCAGAGAGAGAGCACGGCCGCCACGGGGGCAGCAACGACGCACTCTACATTTCACCAAAGGCGGCAAGGACCAGCGAGAGAGTAGCCCTTACGGCGGGGCGCGAGAATGGCGCTCAGCGGAACCAGAAATGCACTGAGGACCGCACCCACTGGAAACCAACGAGGAGCCTGCGCCCCGCGACGCCCGGTCCTCTGGCGAAGAGGGCCAGAGAGCGTAGCTCGACAGGCCTGGGTTTGCCGCTCGCGAGGGGGCAGGGAACCTCCACGTCGCACGAGTTAAAGCCCGCGAGAAGGCAGCGACCCCAAAGTCACTTCTGGTTGCCCACGAGGGGGCTTTGCCCGCGAGAAGGCAGCGAGGTAACCTGCACGCAGCATGCCACACGGAACCCGGCAGAGCCCGGGAGACGTGCAGCCTGAGTTTGCCCGCGAGAAGGCAGGGACTCTGGGTGTGCCCGCGAGAAGGCAGGGACCCTGGGTTTGCCCGCGAGAAGGCAGGAACCCTGAACTTGCCCGCGAAGGCGGAACCAGAGAATGAGAAACACGGTGGCCTGAGTTTGCCCGCGAGAAGGCAGGGACTCTGGGTATGCCCGCGAGAAGGCAGGGACCCTGGGCAAAACCGCCGCCAGGCGGCTGCTGCCCGCCATGCGGGCGCCGTCCCACGCGGAGAGCGTTCGGTCACCAGAGAGCCTGAGAAGGCGGCCCCTGCCGACAAGCTCTCAGGCACGTGCCTGCGAGGGAGCGGGCAGTGCCACAGCGCACCAGGCCGTCGCTCGTGCTTTGGCCTGGCTTGGCCCTGCTCCCCGCAGAGACCGAGAGCGCCTCCTGTGGGGCGACCAGAACGGCTGACCCAAGAGACTAGCACCGAGAATACTTCCGCCTCCGAAAACGCAAGCCGGCCCGCCAGGAACCGCTTGCCCGCGAAGCAGGCGCAGAGGCGTGTGAGCGGGAGCAGAGGAGGTGAGGCGAGCACGCTTGGGCCTGCTCCACATGATTTTCCTGTGCCGGAAACGAGTTTACGCTTCATAAAATCTTCCGAAATCCGATGGGGCGACTTCCCATGGGAAATCCATCCAGTTGCAACCTCAGCCACCGAATTTTCAGCAGCCACACCAGAATTCAATTCTGAGTTCGCTGGTGAAAGGGCGTCAGCATGGATATGCCGATTACGCGCCGTTTGGGACGCGGGCCCCCCGGGGTCGGTCGAGGACAGGCGTGCTGCACAAGTGCAAAGCACCCCCGCCCCCGTTGTGTGCAGGTGGGGGGTTAGCCAATGCCCCGCCATCAAGGACTAGCTTCTGCCGCCTCCACACATCCGACCTCGACTGCCCCAGAGTGCCCGTAGCCCCCCTGCCGAAGTCTGGCTCAGAATGGCATTCCGAGCATGATCCTGCGCACTCTCGCGAGCCACGCCCAGATTTGCGACTTGAGCTCGATTTCACGCCCTGGAGGCCTGACTCGCTCAGAAAAGCATTCTGAGCCTGATATTGCGCACCCTGGGCGAAGCGCGCCCAGATTAGCAAACTGAACCCGACTTCGCGCCCTGGAAGCCGGGTGCACCCAGAATAGAATTCTGAGCCTGACCCTGGGCACTACAGCCGAAGCCCACAGATCAGTGATCTGAGCTCGATTCCCAGACTAGGTGACCGACGCGCACAGAATAGCATTCTGAGCCTGATTCTGCGCACTTTGGGCCGGGCACGCCCAGATTGGCGATCACTACGATTCCGCGGCCAGGGGGCCAGCTTGTGCCGCACGTTCGCAAAGATCGGGAGATGCACCCGCAGGTCGGGCACCGTTTCGTGCGTGGCCGCAGGTGGGTTCACGTGCCCGCAGGTAGGGCCGCATCTTGCCCCTTCCTGGTAGGGGGTCAGCCCGCAGGTCTTGTAGTGATTATGGTTTACCCCAGTTCTGGGATAGCTCCGCCAGTCGGGGGCCGTTTCGTTTCCGCAGGGAAGGACTCTATTCGCACGTCATTTGGTATCATGTATTCCGGCAAGTCGCGGTGGGCCTGCACGTCGGGCACTTCTGCGTGCGTTCGCGACTCTGCAGATATCCTCCTATTGCCCAGCAAATGGTCGGTGCAAGCCGTCGGAGCATGATTCCATGCAAGCTGGCGCCCGCGCGCCCAATGTTGCAGTCAGGGCGCGAATCCTCCCGCGCAGGGTCGAATGCATTTCGGCGCAGGCGCGTCTGGAACCGCAATCTGTGCGCAAATTCGCGCATTCTGGCTCAGGGCACCCGAAGCTGCAACACACAGCGCGAATCCGAGCCATCTGACGCAGGAGCGCCCAGGATTTGTTTGAGACGAGCGCGATTCCGCACAGCCTGGCGCAGGTGCGCGTGGAAACGCAAGGAATCGTGCAATCTAGCGCAGGTGCGCCCAGTACTGCACACGGGGCGCAAATCCGCGCAATCTGGCGCAGACGCGTCCAAAATCGCAATCTGTGCGTGAATTCGCGTA